GCCTTGACACAATCCTGTCTCGGCGCCCTACTGACAATTCCTTTGACCTCATGGCTTCGTTTTTGCTCTGACATGCACTGTCAACTGTGGTACCTTATATAGACAGGTGTGTGCCTTTCCAAATCATGTCCAATCAATTGAATTTACCACAGGTGGACTTCAATCAAGTTGTAGAACCATCTCACGGATGATAAATGGAAACAGGATGCACCTGAGCTCAATTTCGAGTCTCATAGCAAAAGGTATCAGTTTTTTATTTGTAATAAATTTGCAAACATTTCTAAAAACCAGTTTTCGCGTTGTCATTATGTGGTATTGTGTGTAGATATATGATAACTGTTTTAAATTCATCAATTTTAGAATAAGGCTGTAACGTAACAATGTGGAAAAAGTCAAGGGGTCTGAATACTTTCCGAATGCACTGTACGTGCGTCAACAGGCCATTGAGATAGATAAGGACTCATCTTTGTATCTGTGCCCTTATAGCGGCTGTGACAGCATGGGCAGCGCCATTAAGGTTCTCTTCTTCTTTATTGGTTGATTGCTACGAAATCATAGGAATCCCCACCCATTTGACTACTTTAAAATGGCAATGTCCATGCTAAAACGGGTTATATCCATGACGAGACCTCGATCTTTATGAAAACAGGCACAACTGACATAAAGTTCCCAAAAAATGTCAATGTTGCCGAAATGCCACATGCGTCCACTTATCAGTGCATTCGTAACAACCTAACCATTCATTGCTAAACTTCTAGCCGATCAAATAAGCCTCACGTAGCAAATTAGCGATTGCATTTTTTGTTTACCAGATTTGACACTCATTGACCTCCATACAAAAATGCCTCACTTCGTAGGCTTACTTTTGTGGACAAATTTTGGCCGGAGTAAAACCTCTCGCGTCGCCTCTCCGCTATTGCCCAAACTTGAACATGGCCACTGATTCTTAATACATGTACATCACATATCATGATGTCGTAATGTAATGACTCCCCCTAAATGCCTTCGCAGCATCCCAAATGGCACCCTATTCCCTACATAGTGCACTACTTCTGACCACTGCCACTATGGGCCCTAGACAAAAAAGTGCACTATATAGGGAAAAGGATGCTATTTTGGATGCTCCCTGTGAATTTGACATTCTGATTCTACTATATTGCTTGTGGAATGCAAATCTATGTGTTTGGGCATTATGAGGTCTAGGGTTTGCTGCTCTCTGGAGATGCGGACATAAATACACTACAGTAGACACACATGCACTAATCAATGTTTTTATTCCATCTTTGAAAAACAATTTTCAGAATTGCTAGTTTAACAAAAAAGCCAAAATATAATGCAGGAGTCTTATGTTCAAGTTTGATAAAATAGCTGTAAAAACAGTATTTCGAACTCCAGACGTGCACGAGTGTAAAGTGATAATTTTTGCATTATACTGTATGTATTACTGTATCTCCTTCTGCATAGTTTCTGCGTAAAATCTGCAGTTTGTTCATTGTATACATCCTGACCCAACCACACAATCAATCCAACAGAGTCCAGTTAACAAAAAACTAAAATGGGGAAATGTTTTTATCCAAACCTTAATCTTATCCATCACTTATAAGAATACTACATTGGTCACCATGACAATCTATCCAATAGATTGATCGATATATACATAAAAACAGCGATACATCAATAGATTGTACACTCTGACTCACGCCTCATTTTGTTCTGATTGTTGGTTGGCATCTAAGAATCCATACAGTAAGTGAGCCAACTGAACACTGAAAATAAAGATTGCAGAAAGATCTCCATATTTTGTAAAGGCAAAAATATTTAAAATAGGAATAATTAATTTCCAGAACAAGAGAACACCGAAAGCTTTTTAGAGCTATATTTCTATCCATTATTTGTTTGTAATATTTTGAAAAATACTGTGACTTTGTATACATATGGCATTCGTATATAAAACAACAAAAATTACCAAGCACAAAGATTTCTCTTGATAAGTCACCAATACCTTTTTTTACAGATGGACTGTTTAGGACAAACTATTTCAAAGACATTTCTCTCCAGTTCTTTACATTCCTTCTTTCCATGACTTTGAGAAAATAATCTGTTGTATGAGTAAGATAAAATCAAATGTATCAATTATCCTAGCGTCATTCAGATGCTTAGCGATCATGAAGTGATCATGAGATCTTGTATTTCTCACAAACAGTAAACTATATTTGAATCAAACACAGGACATTTCTGATGTCGCTTTGGTTGAGGGCCATAAGCATGCCCTTCATAGGCGTTACATATTAACTCGCAATCAGAGACGACCGTTAACTCCTTCTTCCGAAACCGTTATCCAAAACATGACTAATTAAAGGTTTGACATGTCACCTCTGATGTGAATGTCAATACATTTCATTACATTTAGTCATTTCATGTCAGCAGACATTCTGACTGAATATACCAGGTATCATGGGTAGGCCTCTTACCTATTCCCCATTACTGACAATAAAGTGATGCATGTTTAAAGCAACAAGACTGGTTCTTTCAACTAGAAGAAAGAAAACTGAAGCAGAAAACGCTTTAATTGAAATTTGTGAATATTTGGTTCCCCCCTCCCCTCCAACCCACCCACCTCCCCGAAATAAGGGTTGAGCTTTGGTAATAACAAATGTCTATAACCCCACTTTACCTTTAGTGTTTCAGACATAACAATAAGACAGTCAGGTCATGCCCTGTACACCCTCCACCACATCCCAACACCAGAAGAGACAACTTAACGTCCTATACAACTGACAAATTAAGAGGATTCTTGTGCATCCCAATATAGTGCACTATTGTTGACCAGGGCCCATAGGGTTCTGGTCAAAAGTAGTACTACTATATAGGGAATAGAGTGCCATTTGGGACGTAGCCAGAGATTAACATGCTTACAATTATCTAAAGAACAGAAACATGGAGTATGCCTAAAGGGATGTATTTCTCTGACAGTATGGGGTCCACATCATCATAACACACGGCCCTTTCTTTGAATCCCAATGAAACAGCGGAGTAGGATTACTTGGTAAACGTTTTATGGATACTCAATTTCAGCCAAATACGTGAGACAGTGTAACAGTTATAAAATTGAAAAATTAAAAATGGGGATGGAGACCCTTCGTGCTTTATTCCAAAGCTTCTATTGCAGAAAGAAACCTTAGGCACTTCATAGTGTAATAGTATGAGAAGGCGCTTTATCTTGTGAATAAAACCACAAAACAAATCTCTTTGGGATGCAGTGACCAGTCTGGCTTGAGCATGTATGTGTTTGCTAAATTACAACTTGAGCAATAGAACATATCTTGCCAAATCAATCCAATTTATGTCACCACAAAACCGCTGCCACCCCACAATGTGTACAACACCTGATATACGGCAGTGAGTGCCGTAGACCTTCTAGAACAACAGGCAATAACGCAAAGATAATTTATCAGACATACTTTTAAGTCTCGGTAATGTAGAAACATCTCACCAAAAATAGGATATATTTTAAAATAATAAAAACTGAGTGTCAATGACTTGGCAAAGTATGAAGAAAGGGCTATGGGTAGGGGGTAAACTAGTGTGCATTGTGTTCACTCTTAGCAGCCTATACTTATCACAAGTCCCCAAGCTACCCAAATAATATGGCACCCAGAAGGCTTGACACAAAAATTTGAATTATTTGAAAACAAGGCCTTTGTTTATCCACTATGGCATCCTTAGCAGACTAAATACCAGCAGAGAATAACTCCAAATTTGCAACACTGTCTAAATCAGTCTGTTCATTTGAAGGGCTTTTTTTTTTGTATTTTATTTTATTTTAGAGTGCGCTAAAAGTTGAGGTGAATCAGCTCAAGTATACTGTACCTGATGCATCTCAGGGTGAATCAGCATAGAGGCAGGGTTTGTTACACCACTGCATTTACACGATGGGTGTGACCCCTTGGATTGTAATGGTCCCTATTGGCTGAGGATGAGGTCATCTTCAGCAAATGAGAATGGAGGATTTCATCTAACTACAACATACAGAGGCTGTTAATGTATGGCTGTTCTTCCTCAACATCCCTGACATTACAAAAGTCATCTGCACTTCTAACCAACATATCGAACATTTAAAAGACATCTTTAAAAATGTATAGAAAAACGTAACGATTGAAAAAGAACCACCATTTTCTACAAGGAACAAAGCTTTTTTTCCTTCTTTAAAAACCCAACAAAAACAGATGTAATTCTTTTTTTCTTATACAGAAGGCACAAAGATGGAGATCCCTTGCTCCCCATGTAAGGTCTGGTCAAATTAGGTCTTGTCATATCATCTTATGTACTGTCATGTCTAGTTATGTCATGCTGGCCTTGGATCAGAAAGACCAAGTGTTCAACTTCCAAAAATAATTTCCTGAAGGAATCAATCCATTCAGGAGAGAGAAGTCCTTAAAAAACAGCCTTTATACAGGCCGTTGTACTAAGAAATTTAAATTAAATCACTGTATGTGGATTTTGTAGTTTCCTTGCAATGCTTTAGAGTCCCCAGTCAAAGTGTTTGTACTGAGATTATTGGCGAAGCAGAGAGGTGATGTGCAGAGTCCATTGTTTTGTGTCGCAATTAATGCTTTAAAATCAAAGTCTCGTTTTTGGAGAAACAAAGACCTGGCCAGTCAGTTTGAATGATTGGAGTACTAGTATGTGTTTGAGTTCTGATTTTAAAATGAGAAAAGAGTGAGCCACTTTGCATTGTGTTTGTTGGATTGTTTCCAGAACAGCAGCTTTGCAGCACCAGCTAACATACTGAGAAGGAGGAGGACAGTAGGAGCGGTGGACAGCCGTCCAGACACACAGTTCAGGGGCCAAACATTAAACACACCGCCGAGTGTGTCTAGGATACTAACACCGCACACAGAGTGTGTGTATGTAAGTAAAGTTTTGGCTTTTTCCGTCGGTTGATGGGTGTGGTCTGGCTGAGGGGGGAGGTTCTAGCTTGTCAGAGGGGGCGTGTCGTGTCAGGGGGCTCGTAGCTGCTGCAGTTTGGCATAGATGTCGTCCGCCTCACTCAGCTCCTCAAAGACGGGTAGGAGGCTCAGCAGCTCAGTGTCCTCCAGGTCGTCAAACCAGGACACCACAGGCACCTGAGGGGACACACAATCAGATTAAAACATGTACATTTTAGAGAAGGCTATTAATGAAGGAAAGACCCTTTCCTGTCACTCTGCAGTTGGGAAACGTTGATTTCCAGTTTAGACAAAACACACATTCAGAAAATAAAATTGCATCATCAAATAGCTTAAAATAGGAAGATCACCTCAGTGATTCCACATTGGGACAGGCCAGTTAGGCCTTTGGTGATGCAGTAAAGCTCAGAGAAAGATTGGGCTAGGCAGCAGCACTCACAGCATTCTCAGGATGGAAGATGTAGGAGGCGGGGGAGTTGTCCAGGATGAGGGTCTTGTTGAGCTGGCGGCCAAGGCGGCTCAGGTCCTTGACGTAGCAGCCCTGGTGGAACACGCAGGACTCCCGAAAGAGACGTGTCCCGAACACACCACACTGATCCAGCAGGTCTGTCACTGGGTCTGCATACTGCAGGGGAGACAGGGGGAAGAGATACAGATAGAAACAGAAAGAGAGGGCCAGGCACGGATGTAGGACAGAGTAGTACGTAAGGGGAGAGTGGTATGTTGGGTGGTACAGATGTGTGAACATTGCTGGAATTGCTACTTTTACAACAGGTATATCTCATCACCACCAGGGGGAGCAAATTGAATAAGTACCAGTTCATTTTCTAAATCAACACTAAAAGCAATGTTACCTTTGCGAGACTTGCAGTGAAGAGAACACACTCAAACAGCTCTCCCATCCTCTGGAGGAACTGGTCTACATGTGGCCTCTTCAGGACGTAAACCTGGGACACATCACAGCATGGCTATAAGTATCTGGCTAGGGGAATCAAGTACAGCTATCTAGCAGCGACCATCTATGAACACTAGTCTTTGGACTAACTGACTGGAGCACCTACACACACACACACAAACACACACACACACACAACCTCAGTCCCTAGGGACCACAGTATCTATTGATCTGCAATCTGATCAAAGTTATTTACTGGCTAGTGGCTACAGTCTACTCACCTGGCTTAACAAGGCTAATGTTTTGGCTAATTGAAAAGGCAACAGTGGGGGGAAAAAAACAGAAAATAATAGAACTTGAATATTACAAAAATAACTGAACATGAAGGTTAAAATAAGGGTTAAAAATTAGGCCTGCCTCCCGGTTTGGTCTGCCTGTTCTTTCCTACTTATTCCGTCTGTGGGTCAGGGAAAGCGTTCAAGCGTCTGTATGTGTTGTCGTCCAAGAGGGCCATGTTGGAAGTGGTCAGCCGCCTCCTGAAACAAGTAATCGAGAATAGGCCATGCTGGCGGGAACCAGCCTATCCTGGATTACTTGAACCAGGCTGAGGCCAGAGAGCTGTGGCCAGTGTCCCAGGATGAGGAGGCTGGAGTGGGGTGAGGGAGGCCTCGCTGGCCCTTGGCTTAACTGTACTATACAGCTTTAAAATATGTACAATTGATACATATCTATGACTTCTACAATAACTACTAAGTATATCCATTTTGACTAGGGAAGAAAACACGTTTATACAACAAATGTTCCATTTAAACATTACTTTTGATTTCAAATTTGATTTCATGTAGCAGTATGAAAATGTATGCACTCACTAACTGTAAGTCGCTCTGGATAAGAGCGTCTGCTAAATGACGTAAATGTAAATGCGATAGTGCTACTCCAATGGGCTGCAATAGCTAAACATAACCACAGGGAGGCTGACTATTTGGCATACACACACACACAACCTACAGTATGTGGACACCTGCTCATCGAACATCTCATTCCAAAATCATGGGCATTAATATGGAGTTGGTACCCCTTTTGCTGCTATACCAGCCTCCACTCTTCTGGGAAGGCTTTCCACTAGATGTTGGAACATTGCTGCGGGGACGTGCTTCCATTCAGCCACAAGAGCATTAGTGAGGTCGAGCACTGATGTTGGGCGATTAGGCCTGGCTCGTAGTCAGAATTCCAATTAATCCCAAAGGTGTTCGATGGGATTGAGGTCAGGGCTCTGTGCAGGCCAGTCAAGTTCTTCCACATCGATCTCGACAAACCATTTCTGTATGGACCTCTCTTTGTGCACGGGGGAAATTGTCATGCTGAAACAGGAAAGGGCCTTCCCCAAACTGTTGCCACAAAGTTGGAAGCACAGAATCATCTAGAATGTCATTGTATGCTGTAGTGATGAGATTTCCCTTCACTGGAACTAAGGGGCCTAGCACAAACCATGAAAAACAGCCACAGACCATTATTCCTCCACCACCAAACTTTACAGTTGGCACTATGCATTGGGGCAGGTAGCGTCCTCCTGGCATCTGCCAAACCCAGATTCGTACATCGGACTGCCAGATGGTGAAACGTGATTCATCACTCAAGACAACGCGTTTCCATTGCTCCAGAGTCCAATGGCGGCAAGCTTTACACCACTCCAGCCGACGCTTGGCATTGCGCATGGTGATCTTAGGCTTGTGTGCGGCTGCTCGGCCATGGAAACCCATTTCATGAAACTCCCGACAAACAGTGCTTGTGCTGACGTTGCTCCAGAGGATGTTGCAACCGAGGACAGACGATATTTACGCGCAACAGCACTCGGCGGTCCAGTTCTGTGAGCTTGTGTGGCCTACCACTTTGCGGCTGAGCCATTGTTGCTCCTAGACTATTCTACTTCGGAATAACATTTGACTGGGGCAGCTCAAGCAGGGCAGACATTTTACTGACTGACTTGTTGGAAAGGTGGCATCCTATGACAGTGCCACGTTGAAAGTCACTGAGCTCTTCAGTAATTCTACTGCCAATGTTTGTCTATGGATGGCTGTGTGCTCGATTTGATACACCTGTCAGCAACGGGTGTGGCTGAAATAGCCAAATCCACTCATTTGAAGGGGTGTCCACATACTTCTGTATATATTGTGTGTGTGTGTATACACATTATATACTTTACAAAAATATAAAACGCAACATGCAACAATTTTACTGAGTTACAGTTCATATAACGAAATCAGTCAATTTAAATAAATTCATCAGGCCCTAATCTATAGCCAGGGGCGCTGCCATAGACCCACCCACTGGGGAACGAGGCCCAGCCAATCAGAATTAGTTTTTCCCCACAAAAGGGCTTTATTACAGATAGAAATACTCCTCAGTTTCATCAGCTGTCCAAGTGGCTGGTCTCAGATGATCCCGCAGGGGAAGAATCCAGATGTGGAGGTCCTGGGCTGGCGTGGTTACTTAGTATGCAAAGCTGTCATCAAGGCAAAGGATGGCTATTTGGATTTGTTTAACACTTTTTTGGTTACTACATGAATCCATTTGTGTTATTTCATAGTTTTGATGTCTTCACTATTATTCTACAATGTAGAAAATAGTAAAAATAAAGAAAAACCCTTGAATGAGTAGGTGTGTCCAAACTTTTGACTGGTAGTGTATATATCCACACACATACATGTACGTTGATCTAAATGCCATTGTCAGTTACCTGGTGTGTTGTTCCTTCAATCTCCACAGGTACAATGAAGTCAGCATTACTGACGGGCTACAGAATGAGGAGAAGACGACCATTTACCATCACAGTTTTCAGATAAAATATAATCAGTTGCAGTGACACGCAAAAGACAGACGTATACATTAACTAAAAAAGTTTGATATTCTGATTAGGAGATTCATCTAAAAGCATATCAAAGTTTTAAATGAGCAAAAAACTAACCCTCCCACTCCCCAACAAAAGCAAACCAAATCATGCCTTGTTATGAGAAACATGTTAACTATGGGGGACGTGGACAACAGTGGTTTGTCTGCCAGTGACCATTGATTTGTTGATTGAATATGTTTACAGCATCAGCAGCTCCCGTCTCACAGCCAGTGTAAAGAGCTACCTGATCCAGCTAACAGCTGTCCATTACCACCTACGACACAGTCTAATAGTGGGATCTTGAAGTCAGACGGGACACAAAGAAAGAGGACTAGCCGATCAAACGATTACAGCTTGTTGTTGCAAACAGGTTAAGTAAGAGCTATGGATCATGCTATTATGTATGATCAACTGCCATGGCCTGCACAGGATCAAAACAAGATGTCTCCTAATTCTGGATATGTGGTGAGATAATAGGTCAAACTATGTTTTCCAATAGCACTGTTTCTTATTACCTGTGTGTATGTGTATTACCTTGAAGGAGCTGTGCACCAGTGTCTCATCCAGGTCAATGACCACACAGATCTTGCCCTCATCCTGGGGGGTTACCTCGGGCAGTAGACTGGTCCCTGGGACCTGAGCGGAACAGGGGAAGAGTAGGAAGAGAGAAGTAGAGGATAAAGGAGTAGTAGAGGAGGAGGAGTAGAGGAGGGTAGAAGATTAGAGGATGATTAGAGGAGGGTAGAGGAGTAGAGGATGATTAGAGGAGGGTAGAGGAGTAGAGGATGATTAAAATGTTAGAAGAGTAGAGGATTAGAGGGTAGAAGAGTAGTGGATTAGAGGGTAGAAGAGTAGAGGATTAGAGGGTAGAAGAGTAGAGGATTAGAGGGTAGAAGAGTAGAGGATTAGAGGGTAGAAGAGTAGAGGATTAGAGGGTAGAAGAGTAGAGGCTTCAGGGTACGCCGCGTCGCGAGATTCGCGGGTGCCGCGTCCGGCTTCCGCGGTGTCGACGCGTCCGCGGACGGCGCGGGTCGCCGCGTCGAGGCTTCGCGGGTCGAAAAGCATAGGAGGATAGAAGATTAGAGGATGATTAGAGGAGGAGTAGAGGAGAAGAGGAGGGTAGAGGGTAGAGGATAGAAGCAGGGTATAGGTGGGAAGGTCAAAACGGAACCACATAACTAAACCTGCACCACTACGTTACTCACATCCTCCTCTCTCTTCTCCTGTTATCACATTACAGCGCACCAGTCTTGTAAGAATCGCATTGGTTATTAGAATCACATCGGTCCCAGTAAAGTACATTGTAAATACAGTTTAGAAATACTTCTGTCCCACCGTTTAAAACCTCTAAGTGGTTGATTCTTATATTCAGAGTGCACTGTAGTAACGCATTTGTCCATCAGGTGACCTTTCCCCTACAAGTTAAATGAAAGATGACACACCCCAATCTTAAAGCTGCAATAAGTAACTTTTTGGGCGACCCAATCAAATTCACATAGAAATGTCAGTTAAGGCTGTCATTCTCATTGAAAGCATGTCTAAGAAGCGATCTGTTCTATGTGCGCTATTTCTATGCTTCCCTTAAGTTTCGTTATTGCGTCTTTTACTTTCGGTTTTGTACAAATACAATATTATTGGTTATGGAAAATATATTTCACAGCGGTTTAGATGGTACAATGTTTCTCTACACAATGACTGCTTGTTTTGTCACAAACTGAAATGTGGCAAACTATTCAAATTTTATCAACCAGGAAATGGCAGCGTGATTTCTGCATATTGCACCTTCAATTAAATATTCCAGAGGGAATCTATCATCTATTGACCTGGAACCTCTGGTGCGATTCTATACAGGAATCACATTTCTCCAGCTAGGAAAACCTTTTAGTTTGAGAATGAAGGGTTCAATGTGAGTTCCAGAATAATAACCCATCTACAGTAACAAAAGGGGACTTCTTGATATGTTAATGTATTTGGTCCTAGCGTATATAATTCGTCCATACACATTACAATTTCAGACACGTATCCTATTGCACAATGCACACCGTCCCGTAAAAGTGAATTCATTTCCTTTTCCACCCCAAATAGAATAGCTTAACTGTTTAACATGGATCAATGGATAATGGATCAAAACACAGAATTATCAGTTATAATATATAGCATCATACCAAAAGTAACAGTTTAATCCAAGCCCATTCAGTCTAGTCTCTACTCCAACAAAAACCACAGTGATATTGTCCTTTACGTACTTGATGTAACTGGTAGCGAAGGTTCTGAAGTAGATCAAGCTAAACAGAGAGATGAAAAGACAGTTAAAGGGACATTTCACAATTTCTCTACTTCATATTAATCATCTCCAGCACCACCACATGTGCAAATGGCATGTTTCTATATTTTGTAGTAAGAAAGAACGGAAGATAAGTGTTTCCAATGACAACAACCAATTAGTAGGCAATGCCTACTCATAATTGGTTAAAATCACAGAAGATGTCATTGGAAACAATTCTCTTCCTCTCTCTTTTTTTTACTACAAAACGTACAATTTTCACATTTGATGTTGGGGTGGTGCTGGAGATGATGAATATGCATTAACAATACTGAACAAAAATATTAACGCAACATGCAACAATTTCAAAGATTTTACTGTTACAGTTCATATAAGGAAATCAGTCCCATGGGTGACATGTCTGGTGAGTATGCAGGCCATGGAAGAACCGGGACATTTTCAGCTTCCAGGAATTGTGTACAGAATTATCATGCTGAAACATGAGGTGATGTCGGCAGATGAATGGCACGACAATGGGCCTCAGGATCTCGTCACGGTATCTCTGTGCATTCAAATTGCAATCGATAAAATGCAATTGTGTTCATTGTCTGTAGCTTATGCCTTCCCATACCATAACCCCACCGCCACCATGGGGCACTCTGTTCACAACGTTGACATCAGCAAACCACTCGCCCACACGACGCCATATACGTGGTCTGTGATTGTGAGACCGGTTGGACATACTGCCAAATTCTCTAAAACGACGTTGGTGGCTGCTTATGGTAGAGAAATGAACATTACAAATTATCTGGCAACAGCTCTGGTGGACATTCCTGCAGTCAACATGCCAATTGCACGCTCCCTCAAAACTTGAGACATCTGTGGCATTCTGTTGTGTGACAAAACCGAACATTTTAGAGTGGCCTTTTATTGTCACCAGCAAAAGGTGCACCTATGTAATGATCATGCTGTTAAATCAGCTTATTGATATGCCACACCTGTCAGGTGGATGGATTACCATGGCAAAGAAGAAATGCTCACTAACAGGGATGTAAACAAATTTGTGCCCAATTTGAGAGAAATAAGCTTTTTGTGCGTATGGAAAATGTCTGGGATCTTTTATTTCAGCTCATGAAACATGGGACTGTGAAGGAACATTTTATGTTCGTGCTTTTCTAATAACGACAGGACCAACACTTTACATGCTGCGTTTATATTTTTGTTCAGTGTAGGTTCTAGAGTCAACTCCCACTCATCCATCCCAAACCCACCAACAGGGCTCAACACAAACATCTATTCTAGACCTATATCCATGACCATTCTGAACTGTGCCTAGTAGGAGAACACAAACAAGCACTAGGCTACATGGTCTTTCATTGGCTTGAGGATAGGCCTAATACTGCCTAATGGTGGGAGAAAACTAGCCTAATATCGGCAGCCAAAATATTTTACTCAGTCTAAACGTGCTGCCGCCTACAAGGTGCTTATCTTATTCTAAACCTAGCCATGCTCTCTCTGAACACTTTGGACATAAGAACAGTGAGGTCCACACAGTCATGTTAACCTATGTGATAAAGTAAAACATAACATAGCTTGGTGTGGGTTTTTTCTTTATTGATGATTAATGTTTTTGGTAAATGGTTGAAGCATCATCAGTCGAAGGGGACGATTAGTTAACTCAGGGCTGAGTTTGACCTTTTAGCCTAAGTCTGAACAGCTCACATTCACCAACATGCTTACTAAAACAGTGTCATCAATATACTGTAGTTCTAATAAAATTATTACAGGGCAGATCTGTGAAGTGTGGTGGTAAACCTGCCTTTCAACTACGAGAAAACGCTTGCATTTGAATCATTTAATTGTCTTTATCGCCACCCTCTATCTTGGCCCAATTAAATCCATAAGACTGAACTGCGGTTGAGTAAATTCTTGTGATGTTCGTGAGCAGTCGAACATCTTAACATGGTGTGGGGACATGAGTAATTAAGCCAAGTGGAACTGTAATTCAGAGAGTCACAGATATTAATCTGCAGGGTAATAAAGACATGGGACGCGTCCCAAATGGCACCCTATTCTCGATATAGTGCACTACTTTTGACTAGAGCCCTATGGGCCCTGGTCTAAAGTAGTGCACTATATCGACAATTTGCTGCCATTTGGGACGCAGGCATGCTTACCCACTTACCCAAATACGAGTGTTGTACCGTATAAAATCAGGCCAGCTCTACTCTAGTTGGTTAATTACATTAATAGAGCCATCGTGATTCAGAGTCATATTAGGCCCCAATAGCCATCTGATCTTGTAATTACATGGTGCATCTAGAGTACTGAACAACGTGAGTGCAGATTTAAGAAGACAGCAGCACACTGAATCTGAAGCGATAAGAATGTAGAGGATGAAGTTCAATTTATCGGTCAGGGAGAAGTTATAAAATCTCCATCCAGCCTTTATTCTCCATTTACTCCGATTTATCTAACATGACTTACCTCAAAATCAAAACTATTAATGGGACATGTCACTTTTTAAGACCAATTCTGATGTAAAATTACATCATTACTAGCCACAGCCTCTTGGACAGAAGTTGGTCTACTACACTAATGCTTTCTATAAAGTACTCAGTGTACTCAGCCAGCCTAACTTTTATGAAGTCTGTCCTGTATTAGGAGCTGTCTAGGTTGAAGATAAAAAGGTTAAGATAACGTAATAATTCCATGCAGAAGCATTCGAAAATAAACAATTTTATTGGACCAGCGCTGGAGGAAAATAAAATCTATACATATACTGTACCAGTCAAAGGCTTGACAAACCTACTAATTCCAGGGTTTTTCTTTGTTTTTACTATTTTCTACATTGTAGAATAATAGTGAAGACATCAAAACTATGAAATAACACATATGGAATCATGTAGTAACCAAAAAAGTGTTCAAAGTAGCCACCCGTTGCTTTTTATTTTATTTTTTAGTCATTTAGCAGACGCTCTTATCCAGAGCGACTTACAGGAGCAATTAGGGTTAAGTGCCTTGTTTAAGGGCACAGACAGATTTTTGACCTAGTCGGCTCTGGGATTAGAACCAGCGACCTTTCGGTTACTGGCACAACGCTCTTACCCACTAAGCTATCTGCCGCCCTTGATGACAGCTTTTCACACGCATTCTCTCAACCAGCTTCATGAGGTAGTCACCTGGAATGCATTTCAATTAACAGGGGTGCCTCCTTAAAAGTACATTTGTGGAATTTCTTTCCTTCTTAATGCGTTTGAGCCAATCAGTTGTGTTGTGACAAGGTAGGGGTGGTATACAGAAAATAGCCCTATTTGGTAAAAGACCAAGTCCATATTATGGCAGGAACAGCTCAAATAAGCAAAGAGAAACAACAGTCCATCATTACTTTAAGACATTAAGGTCAGTCAATCTGGAAAATTTCAAGAACTTTGAAAGTTTCTTCAAGTGCAGTCAGAAAAACCATCAAGCGCTATGATGAAACTGGATTTTCTTTTTGTAATTTAGCAGACGCTCTTATCCAGACTGGCAGTCTTCATTAAATAGTACCCGCAAAACACCAGTCTCAATGTCAACAGTGAAGAGGCGACTCCAGGATGCTGATCTTCTAGGCAGAGTTGCAAAGAAAAAGCCATATCTCAGACTGCCCATCTTAATATTTTATTTTTATTGGCCAGTCTGAGATATGGCTTTTTCTTTGCAACTCTGCCTAGAAGATCAGCATCCCGGAGTCGCCTCTTCACTGTTGACGTTGAGACTGGTGTTTTGCGGGTACTTTTTAATGAAGACTGCCAGTTGAGGACCTGTGAGGCATCTGTTTAACTTTTTAATGGGTATAGTATTGCTTACTAGGTGTTGTCCAATGAATTATGTAACCATTCCCTCTTCTAATCAGGGTTGTTTGGAAAAATCTGTTCAAAAGAGGACATTGTATTATCATATTCTTGTACTCCCTGACGAAGGCCATGTAGCTGAAACAAGTCGGAGAAAACATGCCATACAAATAAAGGCATTTTCATTAATTATATGAAGAGTGCCTTGGTCCTCTTTTCTTTTTTATAGCCTACCTACCATTGACTATCAGCACGTCACCCACCACTTTGCAATGTGAGCTTGAGGCAGAATAATTGTTTGAAACCTGAATGTTTTACTTTATTTCAAATAATGAGGCATGTCTTACCTTGCTTCAAAGTAGCCTTGTGAAAACCATCTGTAGAAACGTGGATGGAAATTATTTTATAAGACTTCCTCATTTCTCTCCTGTTCTATTGGTTTTCATGACAACTTTATTTAATTGTCCAGAAGCCAAAGGCACAATCCTAGTCATATTAGCAACCCATCATATTTGTTGCTATTAGATTCCCCCTCTTTCTAAATTTCGAACAGAGATTATAATCTGTCACAACTGCTCGTCAATAATAGGCTATAGCCTTTTGAACTGTAATACGATAGGCTTGCTATTGTTGCATGTTTCCATTAAGCTCTTAATGAAAAATGTTTGGTCCTTGTATGCATGCATAGTATCAGAGAGGAAGAGGCAAAACGAGATATTCCACATTCGCCAAAATCTGTCCAAAATAAGCTCAATACGTTTCTATGGGCTTATTTTGTGCCTAAGCTTGTCGCCTGCCTTCCCGCCTTGGCCCAACTCCCTTTGTTAGAGCGGAAACATAAGCATCTCGTCATTATATACAGATGTCTAATAGTATTTTCTGTTGGTCATGTCATTTTACTGTTTAGAAAAAATGTAACAGTTTGTTGACCGGTTATTGACGGGTCTGACCAAAATGTTGTGACCAAAATGTGCAACCCTAGTATTATATTTTTGTTCAGTGTATATTACTATATAAAAAGAAAGTTTGCCATCAAAGTGGAAAATAAACACAATCATAGTAAATTACAGCTAACTACTCAGCAAACGCATAGCATTACTGTTTTACTGTCATTCTGTTTTTCTAATTATCTACAGCCACTTTACTACTTGATTTCCCCATTTCTAGTCACGTTTTCAATGCTAATCCTATAGAATCAGCAACAGTGCTGGTCCAATTTATTTTCTAACGCTGCCGCATGGAATTAATACGTTATCTTAACCTGTATTTTTTCGACCTATGCAGCTGTGGACCACTGGAGTGGCTGGCTGACTGGCGGTTGTGTTTGTTACCTTGTCGATCGTCCCATTGTCCTCAGGAGGGAGTAGGGTATCCTGGGCAGGGGGTGTAGGCTGAGGGGCATCCTGTGCTCGGAGGCAACAGAAGAGCGCTTTGAAGATATTCCGACTCCGAGGCTTCTTTGGGGAAGATTTGTTCAGCTGGCCTAGGGAGAGAAGGAACAAAATAATATCAACAAATGGACAAATGTGTAAATAAACTCATGGCAGGTGAAACCCCATATGGGCCACCCCACACCTAGACTAATAAGAGATAGTGTTTTTATATGAGATTAAAGGACAAAAATGTCATCCCTTACAACCTCCCCTTTACCCCTAAACAGACTTCTCTGGGACTACTTTCATTTACACTTGTGAGACTTCCAGTCAATCTCAATCAGTAACAAACACCCACAACAAGTAGGCCTACAATAACTGACACACCTAATTGGCACAAACCCTTTATAATGTCACCCTCTCTAATAACCAGTATAACATTAGGGCTGGTTTCCTAGACACAGATTGATCCTAGTCCTGGACTAAAAAGTTATTTAAAAATTTAGATTCTCCATTGAGCATGTTTCTTAGTCCAGGACTACGACGAACATGTGTCCGGGAAACCGCCCTGGCCATAATGTGCCGTCCATATCCCTCTATAGAGGAGAATCCTGTTTCCACTAGAATAGATCCATCATGCCTCCCTTCGTGGTCTTTACCAGGGCTGATAGATCAGAGCAGGGAGGAAACTGATCCTGCTCTCTGTATGGGTCTATTTCTGCATAGCCACAGTTCACCGGGTCAGAGGGAAGAGAAGGGAGTCGGCTCCATTTACAAACTCAGGCATTGGATGCACGAGAGGAGGACATAAAAAGCCACTGCCTGACTCCCAAAAAGCACCCTATTGCCCATGTAGTGCACTATGGGCCCTGGTCAAAAGTAGAGCACTAAATAGGGGGCCATTTGGGATGCACTCACCGACTCGAGGCTACTATCAACAAACGCTGACAAACATATAAAGGTGCAATATGTAGAAATCGCGTCGCCATTTCCTGGTTGCTAAAATTCTAATAGTTTGCCTAATTTCAGTTTGTGACAAAAAAAGCTATGCATAGTGAAGAGAATAATTGTACCATCTAAACTGCTGTGAAATGTATTGTCAATAACTACAAATATTGTACTTTCAGCTGTTTGAAGTTGGTGTACAAAACTGAAAGTAAGTGGCTAAAACTAAACTGAACGGGAAGCATAGATATAGCGCACATAGAACAGATCTACTGCTTATTAGACTTGCTTTCAATGAGAATGACATCTATGTGAATTTGGTAAGGTCGCCCAAACAGTTACATATTGCAGCATTACTGACAGTAAATATATTTTATTAGACAAATGCCGACGTTGCTATTAATAGTGACTATACCAGGCGGTAGGGTTGGGCAGTATCCAGATTTTCATATCGTCATACCGTCCTTCTCCAATCCCAGGATTTACTGTATTATTAACAGCTTAGTACACAAGGGGGTGCGAAAAAAAATACCATTGGGCGTCTATTACCAGAATGCTAACAAAATTAGCACAAATAATACAGAATCTCCATGGAGGCTGCTAGCTAAATATGCTAACGAGTGCAAACGAAAATAAACAAATTCCAAAGACAGGCAATCCCGCTCATAAAGTTATACATGTATAGGTAGGAGCTACCGAATGTCATTTTTTGTGAGTTTGGACATTTACAAGCGAATGTGAACGAGAGATTGTGCAAATGAAGAAAGTTTTAACACATTTTCTGAAGGAAGAACAGTAGTGTGTACACACTGTCTGTGTGTTGCGTCTGGGAGTTGTTAGGGCAACAGGCCTGCCTGCTCTGCTCCAGAAGATGGGGGAGGAGCAGATGAGCAGAGAGGAGAAAAAAAGCGCAAGGAAATCAAGCAGCAGTGGCAGCTGTACAGATAACCCATCCACAGGGCTTTGATGTATCAAACATGTCAGAAAGCGAACAATATGATGCCCAGTCATCTTATAAATTCAGCCACTTCATTAAATAACTAGCAAGTTAAACTTAGGGGTCTCCCTAACTATCATTCTTTGTTTTTCACACAGGAAAACATATAAAACACGCTAAAGAAATATCTTGCTGCGTTTTGTAAACGCAGATCTAAAATACTTCTTATTGTAATTTCTGCTTGGCATCAAACTCATTTTGTGCTTCAGTTGCACTTCTCCACTCGCATGAGAATTCCCAAAGCATTCTAACAGCAGGCAGTGCCCTGACTGATGTGCAGTTACTTTTCTCTGGTTCTTTTCTCGTGACTACCAGACTACTTTTCTTCAGTAAAATGCAAGATTAACTTTAAGCAAAACATTAGGAAATGTAGCTGGCTACACTCTTTCTATGATAAACATTAGAAATATTATGGTCATGCATCGTTTTTGCAAAAAAGAACTTGCTTTTTCATTGTTAGCTTATTTACTTGTGTGGCTGCCAGCCAAATAGCGTTGCACTTTCATCTGATGACAATTAAGCTATTTTCTGCCGAATGTGTAGCGCTTTCTGTGAAGGAAAACTATAGTTGTATGTCCCTGATCACTCTATTGAAGCAAAAAAACACTTTCAATATATAACGCAACCCGTCACAAACTGTCGCTTTCTCCGGTTGTGCTATTTACAAACAAACACGTAACTGGCTCAACTGTTCTGGGAACTATGGTAAGCTTCATAATGTAAAATAACGTGACAGGTGAAATGAAGAACACGATCTGCTTCATCTCCTAACGTATTGCACAAGTTGACTGCAGGTATTTACTTAAAATAGCTACAAATATTAAAACATATTGAAAAACTTCAAATAAATAGTTTCACCGGTATTGACAAACCATCCCGTGGCTATTTCCAAATACCCCGGTATACGGTAGATACGGTATACCGCCCAAGCCTACCAGGCGGTGTCAGAGGAAGGCCCAAAACTGCCACAGACTGTTCTCTCTGCTACAGCATGGAAAGTGATACCAATGCACCAAGTCTGGAACCAACAGGACCCTGAACAGCTTCTATCCCCAAGACTTTTAAACAAGACTGCTAAATAGCTAATCAAATGGCTACCTGCATTGACCCTTTTTTGCACCAACTCTTACACCTAAACACACACATACACTTTCACCACAAACATTGCTGCTACTGTCTATCTATCCTGTTGCCTAGTCACTTTACCCCTACCTACAGTACATGGCTACCTCAATTACCTCGTACCCCTGCACACTGACTCAGTACTGGTACTCCCTGTATATAGCCATGTTATTTTCTACTCTTTATTTTTATTCGTTATTCATTGTGTATTTATTCCTTGTCACTGTCACTTTAAAAAATATATATTATCTTTAATATATTTTTTTTATGCCATTATCCAAAGCGACTTACAGTCATGCGTGCATACATTTTTAAGTATGGGTGGTCCCGGGGATCGAACCCACTACCCCGGCGTTACAAGCGCCATGCTCTACCAATTGAGCTACAGACTCTGCATTGTTGGAAAAGGACCCGTAAGTAAGCATTTCACTTTTAGTCTACACCTGTGGTCTACGAAGCATTTGACAAATAACATTTTATTTTGAATGATTTGACTCTGCGGCAAAAACACGCTACAATTGAAGAAGCTGTTGGAGTACGCCAGCTCTCTGAGCACAGGTACTCCGGTTAGGAAGAGATAAAGAGATAAAGAGATAAATCCAATTGAATTACAAATTACTCAACATGCTCCCACCTGGATGAGGTGAACACGTGTACACACACTTTGATGTGAATGCCAAGCAGTTTGAGAATGGGCCTCTCACTTAGAGTTAAATGATTACTGAAGTCTCAACAGGCCAAATGGTTGGTGTGAATGTAAACACTGCGGGTGCGGTGTGGGGGAGGCAGTGGGGAGTCACAGCGAGGTGTTACTAGCCACTATCTTCATTGAAGACTACCATCTTGTTGCTTGCCCTCATTACGCACGCCATATTTCTCTAAGTGGAACACTTAAGCACATGAAGCATGGAAACGTAGCCTAAACATATTAGATAGGCTATTATAAAATAGGATAGATCCACCTGAAACAGGAGCTAGTCGATTATAAACCCATGTCTGTGTAGTAGGCTTTAGCCTACATGTCACTCCCACTCCCACTAGGCTGCATTCAAAACAAATCTCCCCCTCTCCCGCATCCCATAACATTGCAGACTCACGCTTCAGCCTTTTACTTTCAGTTTTTGTCCACCAGCGTCTAACAGCTGTAAAAACTATATTTTCTGTTATTGAAAATATATTTCACAGTGATTTAAATGGTGCAATGATTCCCTACACTATTCAGTGCTTATTTTCTCACATTAGGCTAACTGAAATTGAGCGAACAGTGTAGAATTTCAGCAACCAGGAAATGACAGAGCAATTTCTATATTGGCGCTTGACCCCATTTCCACTAGATAACACAGACACCGGCGGGTAAGTAACACTGTGAAACACAATCATTCCACTATTACTGCAGATTTATTATGGACATTTTCTGAAATTACAATGCAAAAATAATTTTTTACTAATCCTATGTGTAGCACATTTTAAGGCCTGCTTCACACTCCGAGTCTGAGATCCCCCTCGTAATTTATATCATACTTTTGGACTCTAGATTGACACAGCAGGCCTAGCCTATCAGAAGATTTGGATTTCCCAACTAAACTCATCAACCCAGTTTTATCCAACATATTCTCAACTACAGGAATGAAGCAGCCGCAAAGTAGACTTCCTGTTCTACACTGGAACTGGGTTCAACTTCACAACTGAAACTCATCCTACTGTCACTGTACTGTCTATTCCCTACAGTGCACATGACTACTGACAACGCTATCATAAGCATGTTATGTTTCCAATCGTACGTTTTCATAACAGCCCGTCTAGCGTTTGAGAATGTTGAATGGATACTTTTACAGCCATGAGTGACATAAACCAAGCTTTCAAGTAGGGCTGGGCGATATATAGAATTAATTTGATTACTTAAAATGTATGTTTTAGCGCGATATTACAAATGCCTATATATGCAAGAATCAATTATACTTTTTCCATTTTTATGAGTGTTTATGTCCGCATGTTCTCATGTTGTCTTTTTGGTCTCGTCTCCTTTGCTCCATTCTGTGCTGTGTGCTTTCTCTCTGACAAGCGGTTTTAACTCGGTTTGGTCGAACAGAAAATCGGTCATATGGACACTGAAATACATTATTTTACTGTAATAGAGGAGTAGTTAACCTTTCTAACAATACCCTTTGTCTCAACTCCTCAAATTGCGTACAGAGCAGACTACTAAAACAGGAGTATCAAGGAACATTGTTTTTGGAAAATTCATGCTCAGGTTGTCTGTGTTCTATTAATGTGCAATAAGCATAAAACAATTATATGGAATTGGCAATTTGTTCGCATTCTGAGAAATAAGGTAGGCCACGTGATTTCAACATCTGAACAAAGTGGAGAGGCTAGCAGGTTGTTCAAAAAGTTGAAGACGGACAGAAGGGTGTGTTCACAACAATTCAACTGTTCTACCTTGTTAGCTAGCAAATAGATCCAAGTTGGCTAAACTTGAAATATAAAGATTAGCTGGCTACTCAATAGCATATGGGTTAGTGCTTGAGAGATTGTTTAGGAGACCTGTGTTAATTTTCTATAATGCCTGCTATAAAAAGTTAGTAAAGCAACTGTAAAGCTAAGAACGTTCAAATCTGAGGGGCAGCCCTTTTTGTGAAAACCGCGAAATCTGTGTTTATATTTGCTATTTGCGATGGGTATTGCTCAACCTAAAGTAAGATTGATGTAACATTGTATTGCCAAGAAGTATGGGAAAGTCCTAAGGCATGTTTCACGGTAGAGGTCTGTGCGGGACTGACTTCTTCATCCTGCTACTGCTGCACCTGCAGCTTTTCATACCGCACCCTCTGGCTTTCTGTCCAACTCCCACCCGCTACCTCAAGAACTGGTCCTGAACCCAAACGCAGTACCGCAATTTTATTTTAGGCTTATGTGACGCAGCTCACTTGCCAGGAATGGTAACAGCAATTTGCGCCCTATAGGCAATATCAAAATGCGCAAAAATAACCTAGGAAATAGGTTAAATTCCCAGAGATTCTCACGTGGCCCATTATATTAGGCTATCAAATCAATATTTATTGAAAATGAAAAGGTGCAAAGCTCGCTCACCATGGTAGCCTGTGCGCGCGTTACACCTTTTCCTTTTAAATGATCCATTTTTTTTTTATTGCAACTCGACTAACGTTGGTTGAGCACCCTCCACCTTTTTCCATTATCAATATTTATTTACAGAAACTGTACTTAACTATAGTCTAATCATATTTAAGTTACTTTCCTTGGAAAGATAACTGCCACGTGATTCTCCGCCCATGCATAGGCATTAGGCAGTCTACTCTATTTCAATGAGACCACACATATACTAGGCACACTTGATCTCGCATGCCCAACTAGGAGAGGAGGTAGGCTACTGAACTTGAAGCAGCGAATTTTGAGTGTGTGAATAATGTGACAAAGATGTGTCTTTAATACAATAGGTAAGCTAACGCATACAAAGCAGAAAGACAACCGTTTCAAAATAATCTGCGGGACAAAAAAAAGATTTAGGCCCAAAGTTGTCTGATGACTGCCCGCTCCCACCCACAGCATGAAAAATGACGACCGCGCCACAATTATCTGTTGGGACCCGCAGGTCCCGCGGGCATCCTGCGGGAATGCAGCCCTTTATTCATGTACATCTTTTGACTGACATAAGGTAAAACATTTTTCCTTTGCTTGTCATTGATATATTTTCAGAGACAAAAAAAACATAGCAGATTTCAAAGTAGAGCATCGTAGCTACGTTTTGATGTATGGGTTGTCAAGGATTTGTCCAAATTCATGTGTCGCAACCCCCTTTCCATGACGAGTGGTAGCTTGCTAGCTGTGTGGGAGTGCCTGACGCCGTTAACTTAGGCAACGAGCCGGGCGAGAGGCTATTGTGCTAGCTGCGAATTTTGTGATTGATGGTTTTATTCTTTCAAGTAAAAACTACCAGAATTCAGTGGCTACAGCCCTACAATCGATAAAAACATAGCCATACTGAACAAAAATATAAACGCAACATGTAAAGTGTTGGTCCCATGTTTCATGAGCTGAAATAAAACATCTTAGAAATGTTCCATTTGCACAAAAAGCTTACTTCTCTCAAATATTTTTGTACAAATTTGTTTACATCCCTTTTAGTGAACATTTCTCCTTTACCAAGATAATCCATCCACCTGACAGGTGTGGCATATCATGAAGCAGGTGCACCTTGTGCTGGGGACAATAAAAGGCCAATAAAATGTGCCGTGTTTTCACACAACCCAATGCCACAGATGTTTCAAGTTTTCAGGGAGCGTGCAGTTGGCATGCTGACTGCAGGAATGTCCACCAGAGCTGTTGCCAGAGAATTGAATGTTCATTTGAATGTTCATTTCTCTACGTCAGTATGTCCAACCGGCCTCACAACTGCAGACCACGTGTAACCAACGCCTGCTCAGGACCTCCACATCCGGCTTCTTCACATGCAGGATCGTCTGAGACCAGCCACCCGGACAGCTGATGAAACTGTGGGTTTGCACACACAACCGAAGAATTTCTGCACAAACTGTCAGAAACTGTCTCAGGGAATCTCATCTGCGTGCTCACCAGGGTCTTGAACTGACTGCAGTTCGGAGTCGTAACCAACTTCAGTGGGCAAATGCTCACCTTCGATGGCCATTGGCACGCTGGAGAAGTGTGCTCTTCACAGATGAATCCCGGTTTCAACTGTACCGGCCAGATGTGTGGGCAAGCGGTTTGCTGATGTCAACGTTGTGAACAGAGTGCCCCGTGGTGGTGGGGTAATGATATGGCAGGCATAAGCTACGGACAATAAACAATTGCATTTTATCGATGGCAATTTGAATGCACTGAGATACCGTGACGAGCTCCTGAGGCCCATTGTCGTGCCATTCATCCACCGCCATCACCTCATGTTTCAGCATGATAATGCACGGCCCCATGTCGCAAGGATCTGTACATCTGCTGTGTGAGTGTGTGGCGATGCAGAGAAGTGTATGTCTATGTTAGGCTGTGTGTGTTGGTGGGGGTGCTGTGTGAGTATACTGTGTGGTGTGTGTATGCAGGTGGCACAGGGTTGGGTGTATTATTTGGCACTCTAGGCCTAATCAGTTGGGCTACTGAATAGAACATAACAGCCTAACAGTTACTAATTGGTAAAAAGTAACCCTTTTTGTTAATTATTACTTAATTACTTGGATGTACTCTGTTACCACCCCTGGTGTGTGTCTGCGCACGCGTGCGGGCTGACACGGGCGGCAATTTACTCATCAATATATGTTAACAATATGACCACCTTACTTTAAGTGAATGGGCTTAACATGCTGTATTTTTCCAATTTAGTGCAAACTAATTACCATATTACGTTTCTAATTTGCATAAAATAGTATAAAAAGTTGTATTCCTATTTCATAAATTGTTACAAACTCAGTTTTGCATAAAGCATGAAGATTTGTTATTAATATGAAACCCTTAACTTAAATGATTAGTCTTCAATTACTGTAATAAAGCATTTTAATTTCATAAATGTTACTTTAATTTGGATCATCTCTGTGTTATATATCAGCACTGAAAATGTCAAAATAAATAACCACCCTATCTTGAGATATTGAACAAAACATGTTGAATTTAAGAATCCAGGTGATTAGGTGCCATTTTTGACAAGGGATTAACATTGACCTGTCCACGAACCTTTTCCAATAACTTGAAAATAAGACCTCAGCAATGGCAAATCCTATCCTCATAAAATAAAGTGTTCTTTGTTATAAGAAGCTTCTCTATAACATGGAATACAAAGTATAACACAAGAGCCAAAGTTTCATTTTGTCCCCTAACACCCTGATAAAAGGAGCGTCTACTTTGACAGATATTTGCATGACAGTCCATATGAGTGAAGTACTGTAGTTACATCCATACCAAACAGAAAAGGATTTATACAAACTCATCTGACAAATTGCAAACAAAAGTATGCAATCTGTGACTGTCTGGACAAGTAAAATTATCAGGCACATTCCAGACATTCCAGTACTTCCAACACTTGTCTGTTTCACCGTTTTTCAATGATACAAATATTTAAATCTATGGAATAACTGGCTGACAATATAGGCTAGAATCGATGGTTTGCATAATATTAGCCAACAAGACATTAGTTAGCGAGTAAATTTGTGGTTAAAACTAAAATAACTGTATCCAGATGTTCCCTATCCCCGACTGATGTTTTCGTCTGCGCCGGGATAGCACTAACTAACTGACGCTACGTTCTATTATTTGACGCGCGCGCTGAATGTAAAATGGACACCCACACACTGGCAAACCTCAGTACAACCAGCAGTTGTGATATCTCCAGGCCATGACCCACATGTCCGAAACACATTTAGCAAGAACCTAAATAAAATGTTGTTCACATGACAAAACGAACTCAAACCTGTCCTTACATTAATGAATTAGACTGGCGTGTAGTTATTAGCATGCTATTAGCTCTAGCCTTGCGCGACAGTTGGCTAGCTAGCGTCCGAGTCAGCTTCAACAAACAAGATTATATTGATAAAGTGATCTCACTGCGCCAGTAACCCCGAGGTCTTACCTGTTTTGGACGGCAGTTGACTATCTTCTTTCTGCACTTGAGTGATAATAGAACTTTCCATCTAACAAATGCACAGCCCCTCAAAGTCCAATCCGTTCCCCCAATTCGCAGGTAGCTACTTTCAACATTCAGCTAGCTGGTTAGCAATAGCGCTTCCCAACCCGTTGGTATCCTAAAATATTTCGATAAAAACGTCTTCCTTGGTTTTTCTCGTAGCAATTGTAGCTACCTACCGCTATTTTTCCTAGTTCAAACTACCCAATTTGTCTCGTGCATTTAACACAAAGTGTATTATTGTAACGCTACGGTCCCCTCTGACAGCTAGCGAACACTAGACAAGACCTCGCTATTGCTCCAACATGGAGAATCCAGGATAAAAAAAGCAAAACAACCGAGAGGAAATGGCAGGGCCCGGTTTCAAGTTCCCCTTACTACTGATAAACAACCTTGACGACCATAATCCCCAATAACAAAATGGAAAATATATTGAAATAATTGCTTATCTTGGTCCAAAGTAAGAATGTGTATGTCTGATTAATAATGGATTGTTTTCGTTTATCGAACGCTTTGTTTTTACTCTTCTGAGGATTTCGGGGGCGCCTTGAAACCGCTCGTCGTCGCGGATTGGATCTCGTAGAAGTGGGAGTACCACAGGCATTCTTCTCAACTCACTCGGTCCTGAGCGCATTCCTGTGTGGTTAGTGCTATGTAGTTTATTTGGAACGTCCCTACTCTAAATCAACCCCTAACCTTAACCATTTTTAATTCAATTTCAATTCAATTTTGGACGTCCCAAGGATTCCGTATAGCACCGATATTTCCTGTGTTCGCTCATAGCCTAATCAAATATGTATATATTTTTTAAACATTTTTAGTCATTTTAGCAGACGCTCTTATCCAGAGCGACTTACAGTTAGTGAGTGCATACATTATATATTTTTATTTTTTTCATACTGGGCCCCCGTGGGAATCGAACCCACAACCCTGGCGTTGCAAACGCCATGCTCTACAAACATCCCAAATATACTGTATTATCGATAATATAGCATGCGAAACTTGTTTCAAATCCCTTAGGCTAAACGTATTTAGACTAGTTTAATTGCATATTTCCATGCTGAATATTATTCCAAATGTAATTTTTTTCTTAATTTTACAGTAAATGTATGTAAACTCAGCAAAAAAAGAAACTGTCAACTGCGTTTATTTTCAGCAAACTTAACATGTGTAAATATTTGTATGAACAACAAGATTCAACAACTGAGACATAAACTGAACAAGTTCCACAGACATGTGACTAACAGAAATTGAATAATGTGTCCCTGAACAAAGGGGGGGTCAAAATCAAAAGGAACAGTCAGTATCTGGTGTGGCCACCAGCTGCATTAAGTACTGCAGTGCATCTCCTCCTCATGGACTGCACCAGATTTACCAGTTCTTGCTGCGAGATGTACTGGAACAGGTTGAGAGCTTCAAGTTCCTTGGTGTCCACATCACCAACGAACTATCATGGTCCAAACACACCAAGACAGTCGTGAAGAGGGCACGACAAAGCCTATTCCCCCTCAGGAGACTAAAAAGATTTGGCATGGGTCCTCAGATCCTCAAAAAATTCTACAGCTGCACCATAGAGAGCATCCTGACTGGTTGCATCACCGCCTGGTATGGCAACTGCTTGGCCTCTGACCGCAAGGCACTACAGAGGGTAGTGCGTACGGCCCAGTACATCACTGGGGCAAAGCTCCCTGCCATCCAGGACCTCTATACCAGGCGGTGTCAGAGGAAGGCCCTCAAAATTGTCAAAGACTCCAGCCACCCTAGTCATAGACTGTTCTCTCTGCTACCGCACGGCAAGCGGTACCGGAGTGCCAAGTCTAGGTCCAAAAGACTTCTCAACAGCTTCTACCCCCAAGCCATAAGACTCCTGAACAGCTAATCATGGCTACCCGGACTATTTGCACTGCCCCCCCACCCCATCCTTTTTACGCTGCTGCTACTCTGTTAAGTATTTATGCATAGTCACTTTAACTCTACCCACATGTACATATTACCTCAACTACCTCAACTAGCCGGTGCCCCCGCAACGGTACCCCCCTATATATATAGCCTCCCTACTGTCACTTTATTTTACTGTATATATAGCCTCCCTACTGTCACTTTATTTTACTTCTGCTCTTTTTTTCTCTCAACACTTTTTTTGTTGCTGTTTTATTCTTACTTTTTTTGTTTAAAATAAATGCACTGTTGGTTAAGGGCTGTAAGTAAGCATTTCACTGTAATGTCTGCACCTGTTGTATTCGGCGCATGTGACCAATAAAATTTGATTTGATTTGAGATGTTACCCCACTCTTCCACCAAGGCACCTGCAAGTTCCCAGACATTTCTGGGGGGAATGGCCCTAGCCCTCACCCTCCGATCCAACAGGTTCCAGACGTGCTCAATGGGATTGAGATCCGGGCTCTTCGCTGGCCATGGCAGAACACCGACATTCCTGTCTTGCAGGAAATCACGCACAGAACGAGCAGTATGGCTGGTGGCATTGTCATGCTGGAGGGTCATGTCAGGATGAGCCTGCAGGAAGGGTACAACATGAGGGAGGATTTCATCTCTGTAACGTACAGCGTTGAGATTGCCTGCAATGACAACAAGCTCAGTCCAATGATGCTGTGACACACCGCCCCAGACCATGACGGACCCTCCACCTCAATCCCAGAGTACAGGCCTCGGTGTAACGCTCATTCCTTCGACGATAAACGCGAATCCGACCATTACCCCTGGTGAGACAAAACTGTGACTCGTCAGTGAAGAGCACATTTTGCCAGTCCTGTCTGGTCCAGCGACGGTGGGTTTGTGCCCATAGGCAACGTTGTTGCCGGTGATGTCTGGTGAGGACCTACCTTACAACAGGCCTACAAGCCCTCAGTCCAGCCTCTCTCAGCCTATTTTGGACAGACTGAGCACTGATGGAGGGACTGTGCGTTCCTGGTGTAACTCGGGCAGTTGTTGTTGCCATCCTGTGACTGTCCCGCAGGTGTGATGTTCGGATGTACCGATCCTGTGCAGGTGTTGTTACACGTGGTCTGCCACTGCGAGGACGATCAGCTGTCCGTCCTGTCTCCCTGAAGCGCTGTCTTAGGCGTCTCATAGTACGAACATTGCAATTTATTGCCCTGGCCACATCTGCAGTCCTCATGCCTCCTTGCAGCATGCCTAAGGCACGTTCACACAGATGAGCAGGGACCCTGGGCATCTTTCCTTTGGTGTTTTTCAGAGTCAGTAGAAAGGCCTCTTTAGTGTCCTAAGTTTTCATAACTGTGACCTTAATTGCCTACCATCTGTAAGCTGTTAGTGTCTTAACGACAGTTCCACATGTGCATGTTCATTAATTGTTTATGGTTCATTGAACGAGCATGGGAAACAGTGTTTAAACCCTTTACAATGAAGATCTGTGAAGTTATTTTGATTTTTACGAATTATCTTTGAAAGACAGGGTCCTGAAAAAGGGACGTTTCTTTTTTTACTGAGTTTATATATGACGTAGTAGACCTATGTGGTTGAAGCCTATAGGCATAGGCCTATTGACAAAATGATCACCACCTATCTGCAGCAACGGAGGACAAAGGAATAAATGACTGCCATGTGAAACATTTGAACTAAAGACTACAGTGAGGGAAAAAAGTATTCGATCCCCTGCTGATTTTGTATGTTTGCCCACTGACAAAGCAATGATCAGTCTATAATTTGAATGGTAGGTTTATTTGAACAGTAAGAGACAGAATAACAAAAAACAAATCCAGAAAAACGCATGTCAAAAATGTTATAAATTGAATTGCATTTTAATGAGGGAAATAAGTATTTGACCCCCTCTCAATCAGAAAAATTTCTGGCTCCCAGGTGTCTTTTATACAGGTAACGAGCTGAGATTAGGAGCACATCTCAGTTTGTTACCTGTATAAAAGACACCTGCCACAGAGGCAGTCAATCAATCAGATTCCATACTCTCCACCATGGCCAAGAACAAAGAGCTCTCCAAGGATGTCAGGGACAAGATTGTAGACCTACACAAGGCTGGAATGGGCTACAAGACCATCGCCAAGCAGCTTGGTGAGAAGGTGACAACAGTTGGTGCGATTATTTGCAAATGGAAGAAACACAAAATAACTGTCAATCTCCCTCGGCCTGGGGTTCCATGCAAGATCTCACCTCGTGGAGTTGCAATGATGATGAGAACGGTGAGGAATCAGGCCAGAACTACACGGGAGGATCTTGTCAATGATCGCAAGGCAGCTGGCACCATAGTCACTAAGAAAACAATTGGTAACACACTACGCCGTAAAGGACTGAAATCCTGCAGCACCCGCAAGGTCCCCCTGCTCAAGAAAGCACATATACAGGCCCGTCTGAAGTTTGCCAATGAACATCTGAATGATTCAGAAGAGAACTGGGTGAAAGTGTTATGGTCAGATGAGACCAAAATCGAGCTCTTTGGCGTCAACTCAACTCGCCGTGTTTGGAGGAGGAGGAATGCTGCCTATGACCCCAAGAACACCATCCCCACCGTCAAACATGGAGGTGGAAACATTATGCTTTGGGGGTATTTTTCTGCTAAGGGGACAGGACAACTTCACCGCATCAAAGGGATGATGGACGGGGCCATGTACCGTCAAATCTTGGGTGAGAACCTCCTTCCCTCAGCCAGGGCATTGAAAATGGGTCGTGGATGGGTATTCCAGCATGACAATGACCCAAAACACACGGCCAAGGCAACAAAGGAGTGGCTCAAGAAGAAGCACATTAAGGTCCTGGAGTGGCCTAGCCAGTCTCCAGACCTTAATCCCATAGAAAATCTGTGGAGGAAGCTGAAGGTTCGAGTTGCAAAACGTCAGCCTCGAAACCTTAATGACTTGGAGAAGATCTGCAAAGAGGAGTGGGACAAAATCCCTCCTGAGATGTGTGCAAACCTGGTGGCCAACTACAAGAAACGTCTGACCTCTGTGATTGCCAACAAGGGTTTTGCCACCAAGTACTAAGTCATGTTTTGCAGAGGGGTCAAATACTTATTTCCCTCATTAAAATGCAAATCAATTTATAAAAATTTTGTCATGCATTTTTCTGGATGTTTTTGTTGTTATTCTGTCTCTCACTGTTCAAATAAACCTACCATTAAAATGATAGACTGATCATGTCTTTGTCAGTGGGCAAACGTACAAAATCAGCAGGGGATCAAATACTTTTTTCCCTCACTGTATAAAGGCTGCATACTTTTCGTTTTGACTATGTGCATCACCAATCTTGATTATAAACCACATTTTAGATTTTCATCATATAGGCTAAAATTAGCTCAACCTACCTCTTTACATTGACATTTTATTCATTTAGAAGACAAGCAACTTACAGGAGTAATTAGGGTTAAGTGCCTTGCTCAAGGGCAC